GTCTCTTTCTTAGCATGCGAACGCGGCACGACACACCAGACACGCACGCATCGCACGACACGCACGCAAGGCGCAAAACGACGCACCACACAGCACACACACACCACACAGCACAGCAGCACATACACACGACACAGGGCACCACGACAACACACCCACAAGGATGCACGACAACCAAATTATATACGTATATATTAAAAATGACTTGAGTAAAGTAAGAAACTAAGCAAGATGGGTAAACATACCACTTGAGCTGAAGCGAGGCACCGATTGGACGTGTGGCTAAAGTTGACAGTGACAGAACAGTGGAAGTGTAATTGAGATTTGTTCATATTATTTTCAGTCAGTTTTTACTGACTGTCCCAAGTGCCTGTGCACACGCACGCACGCACGCACCACACACACACACGCACAGACACGCGCGCGCACACACACTGTCTCTCTGTCTTTCTTTATTCCCCCCCCCTCCCTCTCTCTCTCTCTCTTTCTCGATCGTGCTTGTCTACACACATACACGGGGACAGCTGATACATCGGCAGTAACCGCGGGTGGGATAGCTAATTCCCATTGGCTGCAGTGTTGCGTAGGCGTGCGCCTAACAGTTATTAACGGCGCATGAGCACGCGCAGAACGCAAACAGATTGCGGCAAGATGGTGTAACAGCAGCGCGGCTAGATGAGATTGGATAATAACCGCGGTAGGTCCTCAAACGGCCACGCTGCCGCCGCCGCGGTGGCTCGCCGTGGTTAGCGCGGTAACGAGTGAGGTTTCCGCTGATAATACGGCCCGGCGTTCGCACGACAATGACTCAGCACGCCGTTACTGCTGCATGAAGTGCTATATTGACTCACCGCGCTCGGACATTGTCGTCGCGTCGTAACAACGCCGACTTCGTCCTGAATTGGTAGCGGAGCCGGCGCATGCGCGCGCACCGGGTGGGGAGTTACCGTCATGGCCCCCGTCGGAGCGCAAGTCTCTAATTTGAGCGCTCCGACAAATCAACTTGTTACTGATATTATGACGAAATGGTCGGTTATTGTGCCGGAGTCATATGGCACAAAACGGGCCGCCATTCCTGCGAGCACCATTCAGAGAGCCGCCTGACCGTGAGACGGACCCGAAAACCTCGTTTTTCTTTTGATATGCGCATTAATTAATTTTTATTAGCACTCGTGTATAGCGTACCTCAGACTTCACACGGCGCGCGTCTGCCGGCATGATGTCGGCTAATTAGGTGCCGATTAAACATAATTATACTTACCTGCTCAGGTATGGCCGAATCGACACGTACGCACAGAAAGTTATATTTTCATAGTCAGTTCAACAGCGACTCGTAAAGCTAATGTTATAATGGCGCGATACGACTGAATACATTGTGAACTAGACAGAGGGCACTCAAAGAGAGTGCATACCACCGCGAGCGTGTAACATGTATACATGTGTATAACAGCTGGCTCGCTGCTGGCTGCTGCTGACTGAACGCCCTAAGGCGAGCTGCTGCTGACTGGACGCCTTAAGGCGAGCTGGTGCTGAATCGATCGCGCCAACGCGTGTAACATGTATACATGTGTATAACAGCTGGCTCGCTGCTGGCTACACACACACGAACACACACACGAGAGCGATTACATTACCTCCCTGCAACTCCATTGCGCGGAGGTAATAAACGTGTCGCATGTGCGGTGAAACATGGCAACGACTACCGTAATATTTGTGTAAAATTCTTCAAGTAGTTACAAAGGCGTATACGGCGTGAAACACGCGGAGCAGTAGAAGAATTACTACTATACTAAAGCTAATGTGGAGCAAACGACGCACGTCGCACACGTTTTACTCGATAGTTATTTAGAGATTACGTGAGAATCGCAATGCATTAGTGTCATTAACCACCATCTCGTCATCTCCGCGGAACTATATTGTGTGCAATTGCACACGTATAATTTAGGCAGGTGAGTCAGGGCGCTAAGGTACGGCCTCTGCGTTTTAATGAGTAAACGACAGCCGACTAGAACGCTTTCGTCATGTGGGTACATGTAATGCATGCAATGCGCCTATACATCTGTGCGTGCGCGAACGCGTGAGCTTACTGGAGATTTTACTACACGATTTGCAATGAAATAAAAATGAACTCCATCGCTTTTCCAAGGCTTCGTTCACTTCGTCGGTATCGCTTGTGAAACGTGTCGCGGTTATTCATAAATTTGCTGCTATCCAAAAGAGTGTATGGCTAGTATTTAATTTTTGTTATAAATGAAATAAACCTACGCCTTGTATGTAACGCGTTCAATACGAATCAAGGGCAAATAAGCAACTATATTATTATTATTTATTATTATTATTAATAATAAATTAATGTTATCATCTTCATTATTGCACGAAAATTTGTGCGTATATGATAGTTACTTCTGTCGATAACACATCGCAAGCACTAGGATCACGGCTCGTTAACGCGCTCGGTTCTCTATTGTAGGTAAAAATCTGGTTTCAAAACCGGCGTGCACGGGAGCGCAGGGGCGTCGCCGGTGACAGCGCAAAGTCCTCACAGACGTCGCAAATGGCCGCTCGCGCCGTCAACGCACCGCAGGAAGAGGCGGGCAGGAACGACGGCGCTTCCACTCAACATCCCAAATACGGCATGGCAATGGAGCAGAAGACTAGGACGGAGACACCGGTGGCGGCAGGACGGCGGGCATCGCTGGATCCGGTGCTCACGCACACGTTCGAGACCGGAAGTTTCCCGATGCTAGCGCCACCGGACGCAACAACAATGGCGCATTTCTCATTGGCTGTGCGGCATGGCAGCACCTCAGCGTTCACACCAGTGCGATTCCCTCCGTACTCGTGTGGTTCTAACACCTAATACAGGGAATACGTGCAGCGAGTGCGTTTTGTAAAAGTTTGAAAACATTCCCGGCGTTCTGTCGCAAATTTCATCGCAATTCGTTAGTTGAACTTGAGTATTTATCAAGACGTAAGTGTCACAGGAAAACGCCAAGGCGCTTAGGCGGCACCTCACGAATAGTCACATGGCCTAGGAATTATTCGGCGTTCCCCGTATCAATGAGAGCAAGTATTACGATTTAGAATAAATAAATACGGAACGCGTTTGGCACACAGCACATACACAGAGCGCCGTGCATGCGCGCGCTGCGCGCGCACACACACCACACGCACACACGCACGCCACGCACCGCACGCACGACGCACGCACGCACACACACCACCACACACACACACACAAACACGCACGCACGCACGCAGCACGCACGCACGCACGCACACACGACACCACACCACACACAAAGCACAGACAACACCACACGTGACCACTACGCTAATGAACCGGTCTGAATATTTTTAGTAATAATCACCAGCATACGGTTCATAGCATTGTTGTTACATATAACAAATATTAAAATATTAATTGAAGATCATATTCCGTCGTATCGTGAATGACACGCCACCTGGACCCACCTGCTATATTGTTGACTTTATTTTGCCCATAGATGTAATCAACTAATCGCGTCATGTTAAATTATCAGCCATACATAATCTTTCATGATTCGCAAATACCACCATGAGAGAAGTCTTTTTTTCGCATTGTGCGATAGTTAGAATAAGTGTTTCATATACAATATATATACAATACATATTATATACGTCGAATGTGACTCGATAGTTATTTAATATCGCATAATTATTGGGAATTCATATTTTAAGATAGGTAATCGTAACAGTATTTGAATAATGATGACAGTTTTTGGCGGTATTGAAAACAACGGTGCCCCACTTTCAGTTTGTAAAATACTATAGAGTTGGTGCAACTTGTAGTCAGCATTTCGCATCACATTTAACCTTGCAATAGAATTCTTTGTATTATTCGCCCCTTTGTTGCGTGCAGTTTTACCTCACTCACTCACTCACTCACTCACTCTCTCTCTCTCTCTCTCTTCTCTCTCTCTTCTCTCTCTTTTCTCTCTCTCTTGCTCTTTCTCTCTCTCTCTCTCTTCTCCTCTCTCACTCATCCTGTTCCTCTCTCTCTTCACTCACTCTCTCTTCTTTCTCTCTCTCTTCTTCTCTCTCTCTCTCTCTTCTCATCTCTCTCTTCTCTCTCTCTCTCTCTCTTTCTCTTCTCTCTCTCTCTCTCTCTCTCTCTTCTCTTTCTCTTTCTCTCTCTCTCTCTCTCTCTCCTCACTCTCAACTCTTTCTCCTCTCTCATCTCACTCACTCTCTTCTCTTCTCTCTCGCTCTCTCTCTCTCTCTCTCTCTCTCTCTCTGCTCTCTCTCTCTCTCGCTCTCTCTCTCGCTCTCTCTCTCGCCTCTCTCTCTCTCTCTTCTCTTCTCTCTCTCTCTCTCACTCTCACTCTTTTCTCTCTCTTTCTCTCTCTTCTCTTCTCTCTCTCTCTCTCTCTCTTCTCTCTCTCTCTCTCTCACTCTCACTCTTTCTCTCTCTCTCACTCACTCTCTCTCTCTCTTCCTTTCGCGCTTTTTCTGTACCATTCGTCAAGTTTGCTCAGTTGCGTATCTATCGTATTCGTATTAAGATAGTTTAATTTAATGTTAGTTTATATTATCACTACAGTACATGATTCGCCACATAGTCGCACATTGGCATTGCTAGACTATTTACCCACCCCCCCAAAACACGACCCCCAAAAGCCGGTACTCGGACGAGTACAAATTTTATGACAAAATTGCGTATACTGGCATTCGATTAGCAAATGTTCGTTGTATGTTGCTTGTTTATAGCGAGCATAACGCGTACTTTCATTTATATTGTTTGTTTGTGTGTGTAAATAAATGAAATAAAACGGAAAAGGACTGTCATATCACGTACATGTATCATGTTACCGTATATATATATCGTAGCAAAGCCGTTAGGCGTGACGAAATATGATGAAAACGAAAACGGGTGAATACGACGAAAAGGACTGTCATATCACGTACATATCGTATTATAAAGTATATACATCGTAACAGAGCTGTTAGGCGTGACGAAATATGATGACGGTAATGGTTTTAGATGAATGAAACACAAAAACCAAAAACCACAACATGAAACAAAAACCACACACACACGCCGACACGACACGTCACGCCGACACGCAGCACGCAGCGCGCACACACACACACACACATACCGGGTGTTTTACCCACAGTCAGGCGTGCAGACCTCTCAGAGCCACAGAACCAGAGAAGTAATTTATTTGCACTCTATTTATAATATCATGATGATATCCATAAATATAAGTTTGCAATTGCACATCTCTTCATGACCACACACCGTAATAACCTATCATGGCAAATATATATTCAAGCAGACCGACACTAAATTAGCAGTCGTGGATGCAAGAAAATCAATAGGATAGATGTCATAAAATATTTTCACAGGAGCATATATTTGAGTAAACCCCAGCGCCGTACATGGGTCGGCTGCCTGCCATAGACACTATTCTGCTGTAAAGGTGGGTGTATATAATATATATATATATACATTATATATATCCATCTATCTATCCATCTATCTATCTATCTACCAATCTATCAATATATCTATCTATCT